AAAAAAAAAAAAAAAAAGCCCAGGGCTGCGTCCTCATCATCCATCAACTCTTCCTACCTTCTTGAACTGCTTCCCTTGGCCTCCTTCCATAAGCCCACTCTGCTGGGCTCCCTCCCACCTCTGCAGCCACTGCTGTTTAGCTGTGCAGGCAGATCCTTCTTCACACAGCCCTAACCTGTGGATGTGCCTCAACGCTTCATCCTGGGTCATCTCTCTTCTCTAAGTTCTTCTTCCTGGGCAAGCTTGTCCTCATCCTCAGCCACAATTATCATCTCTCTGTTGACAATTTCCCATCTTCATCTGCAGCCCAGACCTCTATGTTGTGTCCAAACCCAGGTTGCCAAGCACCTGCTCAACATCTGCATTTGGATTCTCTCAAGCACTTTAGGCTCAATGTGTCTAAAGTAGAACTTACACTTCCCCCTCCCCCTCCACACCTTCCCCTCCTCATTCAAACCACCTGCCATCCCAGTCCTTTTCCAGTTCTTCCTATCTCACCTAAAGGTGCTGCCTGCCTGTTTGCACAAAAACCTTAGAGTCCATCCTGACACTACCTCTCCCTGACCCTCCCATCCCAACACAACACTTGGACAACTTTCTTCCTGATTAACTCTAGGAAACTTCCACTCTCTAACCCCACTGTCACCAGCATGCCACGCCCCATCTTCTCCCTGGATGCCTGCCTATACTCCTAACCCTAACCTGTCTTTCTATATCTACTCATAGCCCCCACTCTACACTGGGCATTCATATAACACATAAAAATTCAAATTTCAAATTCATATCACATTAAAATTCAAATTTCATCTACCCCCTTTTTTTTTTTAAGAGACAGAGTCTTTACTCTGTTGCTCAGACTAGAGTGCCATGGCATCAACCTACCTCACAGCAACCTCAAACTCCAGGATTCAAGCAGTCATCCTGCTTCAGCCTTCCAAGTAGCTAGGACTACAGGTGCCTGCCACAGCACCCAGCTAATTTGCCCATTTTTAGTACAGACAGACTCCAATCTTGCTCCTGTTGGTTTTGAACTCCTGAGATAAGTGATTCTCCCACCACTACCTTCCAGAGTGCTAGGATTACAGGCATGAAGCGTCTGGCTTCATCTATCCCTCTTGGGCTTACACTGTCAGTGGCTTTCAGTTGCTTTTAAGATAAAGAGAAAGACCCCTGATGTAGCAGATCCTTAATGTGAACTGTGCCCGCTGCCCACCTTTTATACTGCCTAGTCCTCCTGCTCTTCCCTTTGTCCCTCTGAGCCCTGCAACACAGGCTTTCTTTCCCTTGCCTCTTCTTTCAGCTATACCTTCTGCCTCAGGCCCTTTGCACAGGCTCTTCTTATTTCCCCCCTTCAGTTTTCCTCACAAACATCACTTCTCCAAGGAATCCTTCCTTAACCCAAAAGAAAAAACAATAGAAAAATCTATGTGGCTCCGCGCCTATAGCTCAAGCGGCTAAGGCGCCCGCCACGTACTCCTCAGGTGGCGGGTTTGAATCCCCAGCCCGGGCCCGCCAAACAACAATGATGGCTGCAACCAAAAAATAGCCGGGCGTTGTGGCAGGCGCCTGTGGTCCCAGCTACTTGGGAGGCGGAGGCAGGAGACTCGCTTGAGCCCAGGAGTTGGAGGTTGCTGTGAGCTGTAATGCCACGGCACTCTAGCCAGGGGGACAGCTTGAGGCTCTGTCTCAAAAAAAAGAAAAATCTATGTAATGCATTCACAATAACATACACAGGGAGCCCTGTTGTTAGGAGCCTTTCTAAGCCTTTCTGCTTAGAACTCTATTCACTCCTCATAATAGCCCTACCTGGTGGAAAATATAATTCTCTCCATTTTACAGATAAGAAACTGGGACACAGAGAAGTTATATAACTTGCCCAAGGTCACCTAGTTGATGATGCAAAGCCAGAATTTGAACTCAGGCAGTGTGATTCCAGCATAGAATAAATACTATATTATTTCATAAGAAAACACTATTCTAGCCAGGCACGATGACTCACGCCTGTAATCCTAGGACTCTGGCAGGCCGAGGTGGTCCCTTGCCTGAGCTCACTGGTTCGAGACCAGCCTGAGCAAGAGTGAGACTCCCATCTCTAAAAATAGCCAGGCATTGTGGCGGGCACCTGTAGTCCCAGCTACTTAGGAGCCCGAGGCAAGAGAATCACTTGAGCCCAAGAGTTTGAGGTTGCTGTGAGCTATGACGCCATAGCACTCTACCAAGGGTGACAAAGTGAGACTCTGTCTCAAATAAATAAATAAATAAGAAAACATTATGCTTTTACTTCCTGCACCTCCTCACCATCTGTAACAGTGTATGAGTATTTGTTTAGCCTGTGTCTCCCCCATTAGACTGTAAGCTCTATAGGAGGACAGATTGTTTCATCCCCAATAGTAGGTACTCAGTAAATATTTGCTAAACAGCTGACTATAGCTTAGTCTCCCTCTTCTTCACCCTCCACATTCAGTTAGTCGCTTGGTCCTATCTGTGATTCTCCCTAACCTTAGGAGGTCCAGTTATGTGCTTAACTGTGTCTTGAACTTGGAAAATGTTATGTGTCTGTACACAGTCAACATTTTCCTGAGCACAGGGGCTGAGTGGTTTGCACTGTCATCAGATTCTCAATGAGTCCATGAAGTTAAGAGCAGCTGACTCAAATATTCTCTAGCCTAGCTCATTCTCTCCTCGCCAACCTTCCCCCAACAACAGCCTCACATCCTGTTTTGTTCTCCACAAAATCATCCTCCATGCTTTGGTCATAGCAATCCTTGAAAAACACAAACGCAGGTCACCCCTCTTCATAAAGCCAGTCAGAGACTACCTAATGCCCTCAGAGCAAAGTCCAAACTCTAAACGGGATTAGGGGTGGGCGGGTGGTAGGCCCGGTCTACTTCTCCATCTTCAGGTGTCCTCATCTGTTTGGTCTTTCTTGGAACTCTACAGCTCAGCAGCACAGGACAGGCTGTGTGTTTGGGGTTCCCAGTCTACACCAGGGACCAGGGTAGTATCTCACCTCTCTTGCAATGCCCTCTTCCTGGTGTAGCAGTCTTCTCCTTCCCACCTAGAAATTCCTACTCAGTCTTTATGCCTCAGCTTAGATGTCTCTTTAGAGTTAGGTGCTACCATAGGCTGTACCTGTCCTCAGCAATACACAGGCATTGACCAATAGGTGCGTGGTTACTGACAGTCTCCCTGGCTAGGTGAGTTTTAAGGACAGCTGCCATATCTTATGCCTGTTTTGCTCCACCACCCCCACCACCCCACCCCTTCCAGCCTACCCAGTTTCTAGCCCAAGGTCCAGTGTTGAGTAAAACTGTACAGTAGTTGGGTGCCATGGCTCATGACTTAATCCCAGCACTCAGGGAGGCTGAGTGAGGTGAGCGGATGGCTTGAACTCATGATTCTGAGACCTGCCTGAGCAAGAGTGAGACCCCATCTCTACTAAAAATAGAAAAATTAGCCCAGCGTTGTGGCAGGCGGCTGTAATCTCAGTTAGTGGGGGGGCTGTGGCAGGAGCATCATTGGAACCCAGAAGTTTGAGATTGCTGTGACCTGTGACGCCACAGCACTCTACCCAGAGCGACAGAATGTCTTTTAAAAACTTGGGGGGGGCATAATCACCTTGGCGCCTGTGGCTAAAGCAGCTAAGGTGCCAGCCACATACACCTGAGCTGGCGGGTTCGAATCCAGCCCGGACCCGCCAACCAACAATGACGGCTGCAACCAAAAACAGCCGGGCGTTGTGGCGGGTGCCTGTAGTCCCAGCTACTTGGGAGGCAGAGGCAGGAGACTCACTTGAGCCCAGGAGTTGGAGGTTGCTGTGAGCTGTGATGTCATAGCACTCTACCCCCAGGGCGACAGCTTGAGGCTGTCTCAAAAAAAAAAAAAATGGGGGTGGGTGGGCAGTGGCTCACATCTGTAATCCTAGCACTCTGGGAGGCCGAGGGAGGCAGATCACCTGGAGCTCTCAAGATCGAGACCAGCCTCTAAAAATAGCCAGCGTTGTGGCGGGCACCTGTAGCTCCCTCCAGCTACTCGGGAGCTGAGGCAAGAGGATCTCGAGCCCAGGAGTTTGAGGTTGCTGTGAGCTATGACGCCACAGCACTCTGCCGAGGGTGACAAAATGAGACTCTGTCTTAAAAAAAGAAAAATTATTTTTGGTGTTGTTGTTCAGTTAAAGAATGAACTATTGACAATTTGTGCCTGGTTCACAGGTCCGAAAAATGTGTGAAATGAATAAATGAGTGGTAACTGGAAGTTCAGAGATTAAGTAAAACTACACGCAGACGTCAGAGAATTAATGTGGAAGACAAATCTCTTCAAGGAGGAAGACTGACGAATTTAAAAGGCCGAGTCACTCCCCTCACGCCCGGCTCTGGGGGCGGGTCCAGGGATGATCCCGCCTTCTCCGCGCCATTGGGAGGTCTTGACGCTCTCCAAGTCCCCTCCCCTTTAGCCTCCGGGGCGGGAGTGACTACACCAGGAAATGAGACTACATTTCCCGGCGCGCTGCGCGGCCGGGGCGAACGAGGAGCCGGAAGTGGGACTCGCGAGGTCTAAGGGCGCGAGGGAAGTGGCGGGCGGGGACTGACGGGGGGCGTGCAGGTGAGCTGACCGGCCTGGGTTCGCTGGCATGGCAGAGGCCAGGAAGCGGCGGGAGCTGCTTCCCCTGATCTACCATCATCTACTGAAGGCAGGCTATGTGCGTGCGGCGCGGGAAGTGAAGGAGCAGAGCGGTCAGGTAGGCTTTCGAGGGCCGTGTGCAAGGGCCGCGTGCAAGATGTAGATAGAGATCAGCGGCCCGCGCCCCCTTCGCAGGCGACCTGACGGGCGCTGGGAGCCGGGTCTCGCATTGCTTGAGGACACCGGCCAGGACTGCTGGAGGAGCCGCAGCCTTTGCCTCTACCCCAGTGACTTCCAGCCCCACGGGCCTCAGTTTCCTCATCTGTGCAGTGGGCGGGACGGGACTTGTGCTAACACCGAGCTTTGTAATTCCCGCGCCCCCTTACTCCACCCCCTTGCTGGTAGCGGTAGTTTTAAGTTTTATAAGTCTCCAGCCACGTGGCTCGGCGCCGTCTTCCTAGGGCGAGGAGGTTGCTTTGAGTCCCAGAGGTGGATTGCTACCGGCCCCGTCGGGGAGTGTCTAGAGAAGGGTCCCGAGGCCCTTTCGTTGAACTGGAACTCAGGCCCTTAGCGAACTCTGTACTGAGACGGGCAGGTTTGGGTTCAAACTCGTGGTACAGTCTTTTCTTCATTCATTGCACAGTTGTTAATTTGGTGCTCAGAGTGCTGGCCATCGAATTGTGAACACTGTCTCACAGCCCTCCTGGAGCTTACAGTCGGAAAAACAAATCAAAGAATCATAAAAGTGACTATATACTTAACACTACCTCTAAAGTGTTATTTAAGAATAAGAGGTACAGGGATGGGCCAGGGGTGATTTCTCACGCCTGTAATCTCAGCACTCTCGGAGGCCGGGATGGGTGGAGCACTTGAGCTCAGGAGTTTGAGACCAGCCTGAGCAAGAGTGAGACCCCCATCTCTACTAAAAATGAAAAACTGAAGCAAGAGGATCCCTTGAGGTCAGCAGTTGAGGTTGCTATGATGCCACAGCACTCTAACGAGGGTGACAAAATAGACTCTTTCTAAAAAAATTAAAATAAAGAGGTATAGGGATGGAAGATTATCCTTGTCAGGGATATCAAGAACTGCTTTATAAAGGATGTGGCAGTTGACTGAAGATCTGAAAGAACAGTGATGGGTATTCTGGGCTGAGGTGCAAATGCCCTGTGGTGGGAGGGAGTTTGTGTACTTGGCTGGCCTCAAAGTCCACTGGCTGAAGGGTGAAGTACAAAGGCTATAGATGTCCCAGGGGAAATAGAGGCAGGGGCTGTCTGGAGGGGGCTTATAGGCAGTTTGGTTTTTATATGAAGAGGAGTGGTAAACCACTGGAGGGTTTTAAGCTGGTAAGACAGTACCCGGAGTAGTAAATATCTCTCTGGCTAGAGGTGAGGAAACTGCGCCCTGGGGCCATGTGTGGCCTTCTGGATCCATAAGTACAGCCTTTTGACTGAATCCAAATTTTACAGATCAGATCCTTGAGGCTGCAGATTCTCCATCTGTGCCAGGTTGCCCATGGGTCAGAAGGGACTGAAGAGTAATACACCCAGAGATGTTACCTATGCTTTTTCCAACCCCCTCTGAACCTCAGTTGCCCTTCCTACTCCATTTATATCATTAATAGGTAGGGAGAGCAAGTGATAGTACTCCTCTTCCTTGGGGCATATGCCCAGGCAAAAGTATCTCCAAACATTCTAGCAGGAGCAGACAGATGACAAATATAAAAGATAAGTTAATAATACAGTGTATCTGGTGATGGTAGGTATTACCTATAAGAATAAGGTGGTCAAGTGGGGTAAGGAATGTCAGTGTTCCGTTATAAATCCGGTGGTCAAGGAAGCCTCACTGAGAAGGTGACATTTGGGCAGAGGCCTGAAGGAAATGAGGGGTGAGCTGTGTAATTAGCAGAGGAGAGAACATTCCCAACAGCAAGACTTACAAGGCCTTGTTGGAGGCACAGTGGCCTGACACATTGGAGGACGGTGAAGAGGCCACTGTGCCTGGAGTGGAGCAGAGTGAAACTAACTCTTGAAGTCTCAGTGCAGCTGGCTCGCTGTACTAGGTACTGACATAGATTGTCTTGTTTAGACCTGATAGCAACCTACAAGGTGGGTATTGCTGTTATCCCAGTGTTATAAAGGAGGAACCTGAAGTTTGAAGAGGTGAAGAGATTAGTCAACAGTTAACAGTAGAGAGAGTGGGCCCTCTGGCCTCTGGTTGAATGGCCTGGATTCTACCTGTTTCCCTCTGATTCTACCAAGGGGCTGGCACCATTTGGACCCAATCTCTTCCCAGCAGACTAGTGAACTACTACAGTCAAGCCACCTAGATGCCTTGGTGTCTAGGCTGTGGTTGTTGTGTGGGGAAGATTGACAACTCAACCTTTGAAAGCCTTTTTAAAGGTCAGGGTGGGAAAAGCCATGTCTCATGGCTAAAGAACTGGATAAATGCTTGCTTGGAATGTTCCAACTTCAGCCTCTCAAAGGTGCCACTCACCAACATGAAAAGATTTTATCTGGGATTTGCTTGTCCTTCTTGTCTCTAGAAGGTTTTGGGTGGAACTGGCAGGACCAAGCAGACATACTTCCTAGAGCATAAAGCTACCTGTCTGTGCAAGTTATGAGATTGGGAAGAGTCAGGCCCAGGGAGGATCCTTACTGGGGGAGTTAATTGTGACTCTCTCTTTATTTCTCTACAGAAAATTTTCCTGGCTCAGCCTGTAACCCTTCTGGACATCTATACATACTGGCAGCAGTAAGTCTGGTGGGGCTGAAGGGGCACAATAGGCACACCCCAAGAAATCAGCTTGGAATAAGCTAGGCTACTAGTCTAGTCTAAGATCTGTCTCCTTAGCCCAGTGTGGACACTGTTTTACCTCCAGGAAGGGCTGTCACATCATATATATGGGTATTTCTTTGTGGGCCTCTGGTAGTATAAGGAGACATTGAAAATTGTGATCTCTTAAGAAGAAAAGCTTCTCACCAACTTGTTATTCATTTGATCAAACTTTTCTTGATCAAATGCCAATGCTTATTCTAAGTATGGAAATATTATCAAAAATGAGACAGATGTGGTTCCTTCTTTTCTGCAGCTGACATAGTCAAGGAGTTAGGCATGAGTCAAAGGGTAAAACAATTGAATGTAAAATTATAATGATGGTAAGGATTATGAAAGAAAGGTACCTGGTGCCTTAACCATATAAATGAGGTGATCTTTGACTTGAGAGCTGTAAGAAATGGGGAGAATGAAATAGGCATTAGGTATAGAGAGGTGGACAGAGTTACTTGGTAGTGGAAATTGCTTGTCCTAAGGCCTATGCTGAGGGGATAGTACAGATACGGCTAGGCAGTTGGCAGGGCCCATCCCATGCAATGGCTAGTCATCAGTGGTGAGTAATTGTGTCTTTACCTAAGAGCAGTAGGAGCCATGAAAGGGTGAAACAGAGAGAGGAGATCACTCTGCACCATGGCAAGACTGGTCAGGTCTTCAGGCATCATTATCCAGGCAAGAGCTGATGGGGCTGGCAACAGGAACACTAAGAGGTAGACCGTAGATTCCAAGAATAATAGGAGACAAAATCAGGATCTGTGGGTAGGTGGGCGAAGTAGTATCTGATTGACTCCCAGGTCTGGCTTATACACCTGGGCAGAAGATGGGTCCGTGTATAGAGCTGTAAGGGAACCCAATTTGGAGGGAAAGATTTCAAAGACATATTGAGTGTAAAACACTAAAACTTAAATACTTTTCAAAGGAGGAGGAATAATCTAAGTATGTATCAACAGAGAAATGGCTTAAGACTAAAGAAGGGGATAATTGTTCTCTTGATGCACTGGCCTGACCATAGCCAACTAGAGAAGTAAAAGACCTATAGATATGTCCAATGCTGGAGAATACTGAGATGTCCTGGATGTAAAAGAGGAAGGTGGGAGGGGTGAGGACTACTGTTTGCACATCTTTGATGATCAAGAGAATAGCATGTTCTCTGAGGCCCTGGGAGTTAGAAGTGTGCCCATGTGTACCTGCTTTAAGAAGACAGGTTTCAGCTTGTGGATATAAGCATTTGATCATCAGAGCTATCTAAAAATGAGGTAGGTTAGCTGGGCATTGTGGCAGGCACTTATAGTCCCAGCTACTCGGGAGGCTGAGGCAAGAGAATCACTTGAGCCCAAGAGTTTGAGGTTGCTGTAAGCTGTGATGCCACGGTACTCTACCCAGGGCAACATAGTGAGACTCTGTCTCCAAAAAAAAAAAAAAAAAAATGAGGTAGGCTACAGTGGGAGTGGTGAGCTCCCTATTATCAGAGGTGTAAGCAAAGACAGAAATAGTGTAGAAACCCTCTAATGAAGAGCTAAGTTCATTGAAAACCCTGCCAGCACTCAGATCTTGACTCTTCTCTGCTGCTAAGGTTATGTCAGAGCACAGGGCACAGCCTGTACTTCATCACCCTCTGACTTGCCCAGATGTGTGGGTGTTTTTCATAGTACTTCCTTCCGCAGAAAACTGCTTCAGTGAGCTGCTCAACACACACTTCCCTGCCACTGGCCCCCATTTTGGGTTAGGGTTATTGAGTGGGACAAGGACCTCATGCCCACCAAGGGTAGCCTAGCCTAGTAGTTCCCCACAACTAGCTGACCTTGAGCAAGTTTCTTGGCCTTCCTGAATCTGTGTCTTCATCTGTAAAATGAAGATAATAATAATTGCTTTGTTTTGTTGTGAGGATTAGACACAGCAGTCTATATAAAGTGATAAATCCAGCTCTCTGTTGGAACCCCCTCCCCAAGTATTTATTGAGCACTTATTACAAGCCAGTTACTTTTCTTACTAGAGCTAGAAACAAACTGGAGAAAAATCTCTGTTCTTATCAAACTTACACTCCATTGGAAGGAGAGAGGCTAAATAACTGGTACATGTAATAAATGAAAGCCATTTTTAGCAGATTTCTGACAATTGGCCTTCCTGAGAATAAGGGACCCCAGGTATTATCTCACAAACAGCAGGGCATTGTCCATCTCAGCTGGAAAACCCTGAGGATGGGATGGTGGGGTCAAAGATGGTAAGACTTGAAAGTTCAGAGAACTTAGCCATCTGCGTATTTATCCTACCAGGGCCCCAAACATACTTTGACCCTGGGCAAGTCACGTAGTCATTCATTTTGAGACTTGCGCTAGGCATCTCCCTGCCTCCCCAAACCTCCTTTCTGTTTTGGTGAGGAGTCAGGCAGGAAGTAAATAACAGAAGCTAGAGGAAAGTGCTCTGAGAAGAATGAAACAGGGTGACAGCGCAGAGGCATTGGGGGAGGGGCAATCAGCAGGGGCCTTTCTGAGAAGGCCACATTAGAGTTGAGACTTGAAGGACAAGGACTCGGACAGAGTCTTCCAACAAGTTCTAGATGAGGAAGGTCCTGGAGAGTTCTGTGAGGTGCCTACATGGGTTGACACCTACCCCTTAAAGGCTGTCAGCTGTTGCTATTGTATAGCCATATCAAGTATTCCTGGTTATCTTTATGAAATGAGTGAAAATGGGGAGGGGAGGGGGGAGGCTTGATAGAGGGAGGGTAAAATGCAGGACCACACCTATGGAGCATATTGCGAGGGTACAAGTCAAATCTGTCAAGTGTAGAACATAAATGTCTTAACAAGACATCAAGTAAATAAAAAAAGAAAAAGAAATGAGTGAAAATGGAGAATGCAAAATTGTGTCCACATTGTGTTTTCATCACTGTTTAAATGCTATGCACGTTTCCTTTGGGGACTGGGAGGATGTGGGAAGTTCTGTCTATTCAAATCTGCTGCAGTTGTTCTGTCACCCAGTTGTTATAGACAGTCACCCTTGTCCTGCAGAACCTCAGAACTTGGCAAGAAGCAGAAGGCAGAGGCTGATGCAGCATTGCAAGCCAAGAACCGTGTGTCGGACCCCATTAGCAGCTCAGAGAGCTCTGAAGAGGAGGAGGAGGAGGCAGAAGCTGAAACTGCCAAAGCCAGTAAGAGCCTTGCATGCTGATCACCACTGGGGGACTTGGGCCCCATCATTGGTGCTCATGGAGACTCAGCCCAGGGCCCTGTACCTGTGGGAACAGGCTATGGGATATTGCATTACCCCAGGGTAGAGTCCACCTCTAGCTTCTCATGTAGTGAGCCCCAGAAGACCAGGACCTTGGGAGGGTACTACATACCGTTTTTAGTATTTATTTGAGCCCTTCCTCTGTGCCAGACAGTGTGTCCTCAGGCTCTGAGTATCCAAGGCTAAACCAAAAAAACTGGATGGGTCCTCATAGTCTTATTTGGTGTGCTTGCACTGGGGCCTAGGAGCTACATTTCTATATAAGCTCCCAGAGATTCTGATAAAAGTCGAAAGATGACCACATTTTCAGAAGTACTATCAGAGAGTAGTACTTCAGAAGGCAGCTGGTGGATACGTCTTCTGTGTGGCCTATGGGCTGCTTCAAGAGTTGCTGATCTTCCTGTTATTTCTGATGTGTGCACATTAGTACTGGGGACACTATTTTTTTTGAGACAGAGTCTAGCTTGGTCAACCTTGGTAGAGTACTGTGACATCTTAACTCACAGCAACCTCAAACTCTTGGGTTCAAGTGATTCTCTTGCCTCAGCCTCCCATGTAGCTGGGACTATAGGCGCCCACCACAGTGTCTGGCTTTTTTTTTTTTTTTTTATGAGACAGAGTCTCACTATGCCACCCCCTATAGAGTGCTGTAGCATCACAGCTCACAACAACCTCAAACTCTTGGGCTTAAGCAATTCTCTTGCCTCAGCCTCCCAAGTAGTTGGGACTATAGGCTCCCGCCCACAGCATGTAGCTATTTTTGTTGTTGTTGTAGTTGTCGTTGTTGTGTAGCAGGCCAGGGCCGTGTTCAAACCCTCAGCCTTGGTGCATGTGGCTGGCGCCGTAACTACTGTGCTACAGGCAGCAAGACATTTGTCTGGCTATTTTTTAGAGATGGGGGGTCTCACTCTTGCTTAGGCTGGCCTTGAACCAGTGATGTCAGGCAGTCTAACCACTTTGGCCTCCCAAGTGCTGGGATTATAGGTGTGAACCATCACATCTGGCCTTTGGTAGAGTGCTGTGGTTTTCACAGCTCACAGCAACCTCAAACTCTTGGGCTTAAGCGATTCTCTTGCCTCAGTCTTCCAAGTAGCTGGGACTATAGGTGCCCACCACGATGCCCAGCTGTTTTTTTGTTGTAGTTGTCATTGTTTAACTGGCCAGGGCTGGGTTCAAACCTGCCAGCCTTGGTGTATGTAGCTGGCGCCATAACCGCTGCGCTACAGGTGCTAAGCCATGAGCTTCTTGAGCTTTACACAGAAGCAGCCGTAACTCTATAGAGGAATTGCTGTGTCTCCCATGCATCATATATTTTTTTTTATGCATTATATATTTTTTTGCTTACATGAAAGACAATTTCTACAATTTGGCAAATTATTATTACACTTTCCTTCTACTTTTTATTATTATTATTATTTAAGAGATAGGTTTCAACAAGGCCAGGCACAGTGGCTCATGCCTGTAATCCTAGCACTCAGGGAAGCTGAGGCAGATGGATTGCCTGAGCTCAGGATTTCAAGACCAGCCTGAGCAAGAGTGAGACCCCGTCTCTAAAAATTGCTAGGTGTTGTGATGGGAGGCTATAGTCCCAGCTACTTGGGACTAAAGCAAAAGAATTACTTGAGCCCAAGAGTTTGAGGTTGGTATGAGCTATGATGCCATGGCACTCTACCGAGGATGACAGAGTGAGACTATCTCAAAAAAAAAAAAAAAAAGATAGGTCTTACTATGTTGCCTGGGCTGAAATACAGTGGCTATTCACAGGTGTGACTATAGCCTTTAATTCCTGGGCTCAAACAATCCTCCTGCCCAAGCCTTCTGAGTAGCTGGGATGACAGACACATGCCACCACTCACAGCTTCCTGAAGCTACTCTTTTTTTTTTGAGACAGAGTTTTATTTCTTGCCCTCGGTAGAGTACTGTGGCATCAACAGCTCACAGCAACCTCTAGCTCTTGGGTTTAAGAAATTCTCTTGCCTCACCCTCCAAGTAGTTGGGACTGCAGGCACCCACCACACCTAGCTATTTTTTTGTTGTAATTATCATTGTTATTTGGCAGGCCCAGGCTGGATTCAAACCTGCCAGCTCCGGTGTATGTGGCTGGCACCCTAGCCACTGAGCTATAGGCACCAAGCTTCTGAAGCTACTTTTAAAGATGTTTGAGATCATACTAGATATATATTTTATATATTGCTTAAATTATAAATGTAAAACAAATTCACTTTGAACGGTATAAAAGAATATAGAGGAAAAACTGAAGGTTTTCTATTCTCCTACTCTGCTTCCTTCCCAGTAGGTAGCCATTAAAACTTTCTCCTTTGCATCTACAGTCTTACAGATATGCATCCTTACACATGTATGTACAGACCTACATGCCATGTAAAACAAAAGTGGTAAATTTCATACTGACAGGCTATTCAATATTGGTCAAAGTTTTAAGCTATGATAATGGAATTGAAATTATACCTTTGCTAGGGATAATTTTTGAAATGGAGTCTCTTTGCTTAGGCTGACCTCAAACTTCTAGCCTCAAGTGTACACTCACTTCAGCTTCCCAAGTATGTAATTATACTTTTTAAAGAGTCTTCCCTGAGAGAAATATGCTGAAGTATTTATGGGTAACATGATAGGATGTCTGGCATTTTCTTCAAAATAATTTACAATGGGGAAGGGTGGATGAGACAATAGATGAAGTAGGATTGGCCACAAGTTGATAATGGTGGAGCTGGGTGGTTCAATATACTTCCTCTCTACTTATGAATATGTTCAAAATTTTCCACAGTTATAAAAAGAAATGGAGGTAAGTGCTAAGAAAAGAATTAGATCATGTCATTCATCTCAGCAACTTTGTTTTTCAACAAGAAATCTGAGATTTTAGAGATAACATCCTTGTGTAAAAGCACCAAGAATCGATAAATCTCAGTATCTAACTGGACCTGAGTCTCACGGTTCAGCTGCTTCTTCACTGACGAAACATTTGAGTTGCAAGCAGCTTTTACTGTGGACCTACTGCTGGCTGCTTGACCGCTATTTCTTCTTGCTGAGGCCTTTCAGGCTACAATGTGGTAGCCTGTGTGGATAGTACCAACAACGAGTTGTGCAGTGCCTTCGTGGTAGTAGACCGCAGGAACATGAGCCAGTCCTTCTCCCTTTGGGTCCTCAGCTTCTCATGCCACAGAGGAGTTGGGAATCCCTTGGAGATACAGATGCATTTTTGTTCCTGGTGGACATGGCTAATGCATCATAGAGCTCATTCCCGCAAGTCTGGGCTCAGCCTCAGATCCTCGTGCCAGCACCAGGCGGCCAATACCAACTGAGTTGTTAGGTGAGATGAAACCTGTTTGTTGTTCTTAGATGAGAAGTACTCATCTGGCTCAAACGGTGGGTGTTTGTGTCTTGTAGCCCCCAAACCAGCATGTACCAACTCCTCCATCACGGGCACGGATTTGCCATCAAGTGTGAAAGAAAAAGGCAAGGTGAGTGAGACCTTCCAAGCTGTTGCCTATGGGAGTTGAAGTGCCCAGTAGGGGGGCAGTTGCCTGTGTGAAAGAAGGATAAGGTTATGAGTAAATGCCCAGCCAGTTTCACCAGCTATGGAATCTTGGCGAACCCCTTCACCTCTCTGGGCCTCAGTTTCTCTTTCTAATGCAGGAGGCAAGGCACATTGTGCACATGGGATGGACGGTGTCTTTCTCCCTTTGTACATTCATTCAAGAGAGCATTACTGACACCTGCTATGTTCCAGCCACTGTGTACTCAGTGGAAACAACACAGTGAACAAGCCACTTGTGCTTCTGAAACTCTAAAAACACATTCTAAGTCAAAAACTACTTAGTGGAATGTCATCTTCTGCTAACTCATAAAACAATGTTATATACATGCAGGATACTATCTCTAAAATTGCCTGCAGCATTAGCAACAATGTATAGAAGTAATGATAACATCCCCCCAAAACTGCTGTTCACCACTTACCAAGTATCCACTTTGTCCCAATTCTATTCTCAGCATCTCTGTGAGGGGAAGTGCTGTTTCTAGGGAAATAGAAACTTAGGGAGGAAATTTGCCCAAACTCCCTCAGCTAGAAAGTAGTAGCATTGGGTTCAGGTGCAGGTGGTCTGTGCTTTAATTCACCAGGCCGTACGGGATGTGTCTATCACTATTGTTCTCTGCAGGCAAAGACTGAGGCAGCTGGCAAGATGAGGAACGCTATGCCAAACCCTGCCTCTGTAAAGACAGTGGCCCACCTCCTCTCTGGGAAGTCACCTAAGAAGTCAGCTGAACCCTCAGCAAATATTACCTTGGTCTCAGAAACTGAGGAGGAGGGCAGTGTTCCAGCCATTAGAGCTGCTGCCAAGCCTGGTGAGAACCCCCTACCTCTAGGAGCGAAGCCCCCACAGTTTGGGCTGACAAGACAGGCCCCGGCACTGCTTTGTCAAGTTCTGGGACATTCTGGAATTCAAAGGTTTGTCTCCCTGACAGAGTCCTGCACCTCAGGCCATTTTCCCCTAGATGAGAGAGAGTCAGCTGCAGGGATAGCACCTAAGGCTTGGCAGCCTGGGTAGTGGTTGGAGCATTTCTAGTTTATTACTCTCTGGTGGGTTATAGTGACCCCTGTGTTGTCTTAGAACTAAACTGAAAGGTCTGAGTTTACCTCCATTTCTATGCACAGTAAGTATTTGCCCTGCCTACCTCAGTGGATATGATAATAGAGAAAGATTCTGCAAACTGTCACATGCTGGTGCATGTTTGTTAGGACCTATAATAGCCCTTACCGTGGCCTCAGAGATGTGCAGGAAAAAAGGGAAAATTATGGTACCCATCTCAGAAGGGGGGCTCCCAGAGAGGGTGGACCTATAGCTCTGTACATGAGGGGTAACGCTCAGCACCTAGCTTTGATTGGCAGCTGGCATGGGGGGAGGTTCTGGGGAGGGGCAGGTGAATTTGGAAAGGGTGTCCCTCAGTCCCCTCCATGTCCATCCACAGGGATGGTGTCAGCAGGCCAGGCCGACAGCTCCAGCGAGGACACCTCCAGTTCAAGCGATGAGACGGACATGGAGGTAATTGCGACCCATCTTCAGGAGTTGCCCGCTTTAAGCCTTTCACCCTTCCAAGAGGCTGCCCAGAGTTTCAGATGCCAGTGGGCCCAGATCAGTTCTCTAGTGGTGTCGGGGTGACCAGGAGCTAGAAAGGCTGCAGCTAGGAGAGATAGGGAAAAGAATGTGGTGCTGCCCACCATGCTGGGAGCATGAGAGGAGCCAGTGTGTGGGAGAGGGATACCATCCTGTGAGGCAAAGCTTCCTGGGAGAGGGGCCCCTAAGCAGGGCCTTGAAGCACAGTGAGCAGCACTGGGAAGGGGTGTAGAAGACATTCCCATCAAGAAGAGAGGCAAGGCCCAGGGGAAGTACTGTGGCTATCATGAGCTGTGGTCAGGGCTGAGGCTGCTGAGAGGGTTCTCAGCCCTCTGGTGAATGCCAGGCTCAGGCACTTGATCAGAGGTGGACAGGATTCTGGCCTTGTCTCTTCCCTGAACTTTGACCTGGGAGAGGTCCCCACAGGTCATTCCTTATCTTGTACCTACTAAGCACCAGGCCTGGGAATCCAGTGGTGAGCATGATGGACAGGGCTCCTGCTGCCATGGAGAAAGGGAAGCTCCCTCAGATATTTAAGGTGATGGCTGCTGTGAAGGAAAGCACAGAGAGCCGTGAGTGATAGTCATGAACCTGATGCTGAGGTGTAGGCATAAACAGAAGGAACAGTGTGTGCAGAGGTGGAGGCAGGGAAAGTTTGGTTCCTTTAATGAACACTGGTCTATAATTTCATGATTGAGGGGAAAGTGACACAAGACAAGATGAGGTCACAGGTAGGTGGGGCTGGATCCACCACCTGACCTGGAGGACCTTCATAAAAAGGATGGGTTTTATTCCACTGGCTGTAAGAAGGCATTGTATAGCTTCGGGCATAAACAAGATGACCTAATTAAAGTTGCAAAAAGATTGTTGGCTACAGCTTGTATGGAGACCATGTAGGGGGCTATGGGAGTGGTACTGGCAGAAGATGCTGAGGGCTGAGAACAAGATGTCCAAGTTATTTTAGAGGGAGAACCAGGAGGTGTGAAGGGTGGACTGATCTGGTGCCTGGGGCACTTCTTACCTCTCTGTCTGACCTTACCCAGTAACCCTGTAAAGGTTGAGAACTCACCCCTAAATCCCCTACACCTGGCCATAGGCTGCTCCCCACCTTGTATCCTCACCTTTAGGCCCTAGGTACTGCTAGACATACAGATGCTTTTGGCCCTGGAACACAGCGCTGGTGAGCCAGAAGCCTTGCAGAGCTCCATCAGAAGTGAGGACACAGATGCCCCCAGAAACCCAGGGCCATGTAGGGAGTTTAGGAAAGAGCTCACAGATGGAAGGAATGTGCCCAAATAAGCTGATGGGAGAGCTGACATTCAAATCCTTGACTCCTAGCCCTTGAGGTGGCTACCAGGATCAGATACTTGAATTTCAGGGGCGGACAAGGATAAGCTCTCTTGATTAAGCAAGACTGCCCTCCTAACCTACAGGCTGAACCCTGTGGGTGTCAGGTGGGAGAAGACCTTAATTGTTGAGAGTTCTGCCCCCAAAGCCAGACAACCATAGGCTACAATCATGAACTCTGTCCCTTCCTATTGATCTTGAGTGATTTAACCTCTTTTCTGGAAAATAAGATAAATATTTGTCTCAGGGAATTGTTTGAAAATCAAATGAAGTTAGGAAAAGGCTTTATAAACTGAAGCACCTTATATGTCTGAGAGGAAATGGTTCAGTTACTATTCATTTCCTAATTCCATCTTCTGTTCCAGGTGAAACCCTCAGTAAAACCAGCCCAGGTCAAAGCCTTGGCTGTCCCTACCAAGAAGCATCCAGCAAGAGGGGCAGCCGCAACCCCTGGGAAGGTGGGGGATGTGACAGCCCAGGTCAGAGGAAGTGCCCTTACTGCAGCTAGGACAGCCAAGAAGCCAGAAGAGGAGTCAGAGAGTAGCGAGGAGGAGTCTGAAAGTGAAGAGGAGGCCCTCGCAGGGACACCCAGCCAGGTAGGCCTGGGGGGACAGGGTGCTGCTCCTCGGCTCAGCCAGCTTTGCTGTGCCCAAAGATTACCAAGGGCTGCATGGGCATCCATCTTTCAAGAACATAGATGTGAATCTACTTTCCCCATGTTGACTTAACAATTTAAAAAGCAGCAAGCTAAGCAAAGCCTGTCTCAGCAGCCTGTACCTTCTACACAGAAAGGTTATTAGAAGATCAGAGCTGTTGTTTTCTGGGCAGTTGGCCTAGGGCTGAGTGGCCCAGGCCTTAGGGACCTCCTTTATGAAAGGTCCAAGGTAGAGCCTGATAGCAGCAAAGAGGAGTTAGTGAAGAGGCTGCGTAGAGACCTTGTCCATGAGGCTGAGGATCGCCTTCCCAGGGGTCCTTCTGCTTTCCGCATACACAGCCCAGGGAGGGCCTCTATCAGTCCCTCCAACACATTCAGACTGCCTCTTCCTTCAGGGCCTCTGTGCTGCCCCCACCCAGTCAGGTGTGTTCCTGTAGGCTGGCACCTGTGCCCACAGAGCTCTCCAGCTGATGGGAGCCCAGCAGCACACGGGCTTTAACTATACTATGTGCTGAGGCAGCCCAAGGGCATCAGGGAAAGTGGTATCTGTCCAGGACCTAGAAGCTGAGGAGGCATGGGTCAGGTGGAACGGGAATGAGGCTGTAGGAGTGAGAGTGTGAAGCTGATCAATTTTTGAGGAACCAAGAAGAGGCCAGTGTGGCTGGAGCACCAGACAGGGTGGGAGTGGGAGAGAAGCAGGTTGTCATAAGGCCTCTGGGCTTTATCCTGAAGGCAACACCAGAGAGTTTTCAGAAGCAGGTTAACAAATTGCCCTTTCTCTTTTATTAGGTAAAGGCCTCTGAGAAAATTCTTCAGGTTAGAGCTGCTTCAGCCCCTGCCAAGGGGACCGCAGGGAAAGGGCCCACCCTAGCACCCTCTGGGAAGGCAGGGCCTATAGCCACTCAGGCCAAGGCAGGGAAGCCAAAGGAGGACTCGGAAAGCAGTAGCGAGGAGGAGTCGGACAGTGAAGAGGAGATACCAGCTGCCAAGGCCCCGCTTCAGGTGAGGACCAAGGAGGGAGACCTCAGGCAAGCCTCAAGGTCCTCTGTCTACTCAACTGTGTCATGCCATTCACTTGGGCTGGTCCTCTGTATCTGTCTCTGGTCCTGTGTCTCCTCACGCATCCACCCCCTGGGCTCTGTTGTTTCTCACTCTAGGCAAGGCTCTCAGAGAAGGCTCCCCAGGTCAGAGCTGCCTCGGCCTCTGCCAAGGAGTCCCCCAGGAAAGGGGCTGCCCCCGCACTCCCTGGGAAGACAGGGCCTGCAGCTGCCCAGGCCCAGGTGGGGAAGCAGGAGGAAGACTCAGAGAGCAGCAGCGAAGAGTCAGACAGTGAGGGGGAGACCCCAGCAGCTGCGAGCCCAGCCCAGGTGAGGCTGGAGGACACCCTGTACGCCCCACGCCCAGCCTTGACAGGCCTCTATGGGGTTTCCTTCTCTGTACCTAGTGCCCAGTACAGCTCCGCTTGCCTCTCACCTGTGTCTTCACACATATTCTCCCTCTCTGCCCCCTCCCCTGATCCTATTCTTTGTCACTCCCAGGCAAAGCCCTTGGGGAAAAACCCCCAAGTGAGACCTGCCTCCACCATGAGCGTGGGGCCCTCTGGGAAAGGTGCCATCCCAGTATCCCCTGGGAAGGCAGGGACCACAGGCCCATTGGCCCAGGTGGGGAAGAAGAAGGACCCAACAAGCAGCAGTGAGGAGTCGGATAGTGAGGGGGAGGCACCCATGCCTGCCGCTCTGACCCAGGTGAGGCCCGTCTGACCTGTCAAGGCGCAGCCTCAGTGGCCCCGACACACCTGCCCTCTTTCTGCACTAAGACTGTGTGTGCTTTCCCAGTCTCTTGTATCTGCACATATCTACTCTTTGGGCTCCCTCTCCTGATGCTGTCCTTTGTCACTCCCAGGCAAAGCCCTTGGGGAAAAACCCTCAGGCCAAATCTGCTTCGGGTCCTGCCAGGGGGCCCTTGGGAAAAGGGACTGTTCCAGTAGCCCCTCAGAAGGCAGGGCCAGTGGCCACCCAGGTCAAGGCTGAAAGCTCTAAGGAAGACTCAGAGAGCAGTGAGGAGTCGTCTGGGAGTGAGGATGAGGCACCAGCAGCCATGCCTCCAGCTCAGGTGAGGCTTGAGGAAGAAGGCCACTTACACAGCCTGACTCACCACAATCACCATCATCCCTCGGAGCACTGAGCTGCTCTTTCGTTGGAATGTGGGTTCTAGCTAGTGAGAAAGAACAGCAGTGGGACTCCACCCTGGAATGGATGAATAGGGGCAGGCGGGGTAGTGTGTGTGTGCTCTGAGGCTCTAGGAGCCTTCTCCAACCCATCTTTGGTGTCCCCTCAGGCAAAACCAGCTCTGAAAACTCAGACTAAGGCCTCCCCAAGGAAAGGTGGCACTCCTGGTACCCTCACATCTGCCAAGGTCACCCCTGTGGGTTCTCAAGCCCCCAAGAAAGGAGCAGCATCTTCTCCAGCTGTGGCCAGGAGTGTCCAGAGACCAGAGAAGGACTCTTCAAGCAGCGAGGAGTCGGACAGTGAAGAAGAGGAGACAGCCCCTGTGGCAGCAGTAGGACTGAGGCCTGTGTTTGCTGGGTTGGGCCCAAGTGGTCCTTTAGGCTCCTGTGAGAAACTTCTCTTCCACTTTCATCCTAGGCAAAGTCTACGGGGAAAGGCCTCCAAGTGAAAGCTGCCTCAGCACCATCCACGGGGCCTTCAGTCCTCCCTGGAAAGATGGGACCTGCAGTCACCCAAGTCAAAACTGAGACACAGGAAGACTCTGAGAGCAGTGAGGAGGATTCAGACAGTGAGGCTGCAGCTCCAGCTCCAGCACAGGTGAGGCCTGGGAGGCGCCTGCCCAGCCCCAACAGCTGTGCCTGCACAGGGCCGAGAAATGGCTTGTCGGGGGCCACTCTTGCCCCTTATGTGCAGAACCTCATTGCCCCCTCTTCACTCCGTGTCTCCTCTGCCCTTCAGGCCTCCAGGGTCTCCTTTGTGGCCTTTTGAGCTGTGCTTTTCCCAAGCTCTGGAGTTCCTACTCTGCCAGCTGCTGCCCTGGTCTGAGACTCCTATGTCCCTGGCCCTTGCGGAGGTTCTGCCTTGACGGGGACATGGATGGGTGTGCAGGTTTACAGCATGGTGTGATAGGGTTGTGGTTGAGGGTGCTCCTGGGCTATAGAGTGTAACAGATGAGCATATCTAAGGCTTTTGTAGGAGACATCTGAACCAAGAGCTAAAAGAGGTAGCCTGGGGAAGTGTTATAGGCAGAGAAAGCAGCCCATGTGAGGCCAGGGGAGGAGAGAGCACCTGGCTTGGGTGATATGCCTCCAGACAGCACATTCTGGTGGGATCAGGCTATATTGTGGTAGGTAGATGGCAGGGATTTGGAGCCAGACAGCCTGGGTTCAAGGCCTGCTCCATGTCCTGGCACCTAAAGCCTCTTACTCTTCTGTAGAGTAAAAATCAGCCCTCACAGGTTTGGGTGAGATCTCACCTGCCATACCCAACTAGGGGCCTGCATACAGTCACCCCAAGGGTGGGCAGGCTAATGTAGAACAAAATCTACAGTCAGGTCTCCCAGGGAGGTAAAGATAGCACAGCTCACTCCCTATACTCACCCACCCACTGTTTATTATTTTTAATTGTCGCTCTTTTTTTCCCCCCAATAACCACTCAGGAATTAGTCATTTCTCTATTCCCTGTACCTGAGCACACATTTCTGTCGATTTTTGTTGTTGTTCTCATCTCACGGTTGACTTGTGGGACCCAAATTCCTAGGATTCCTCTGCTGAGGTTTTAAGCTATGTGGGGGCTCCTTTCAGAGTCTCAGTCCAATAGCCTCCTCTCCCCTTTTCTAAGCTACAGACACATTCCAGACAGAGTGCCTTACAGAGTTTCATTGTACAACTCGCTTAAATATTTCTCTTCCCATCTGAGCCTCTGACCTGTACCTTGAGGTGGGTGTGAACCATAGGTTATTTAGAAGTGAGTTAGTTTCCAAATATCTAGGATTACCCAAGTTTTGTTTTGTTGTTAACTTCTGATTTAGTCAGAAGTTAATCACATTGTGGTTGAAGAACATACTTTGTATGATTTCTGTCCTTTTTTATGTATTGAGACGTATTAGGTCAAGTTGGTCTCTGTATCTTTTGCTTTGTTTTCTTGTATCTCTGTAAACAGAAACATGACTCCCTTCTAGATGACTGAAGTACTGTGCTGATGAGCACCTTGGCCTTAGTCACACAATTTACGCCTTAAGAAATTTTTTTTCTTGAAGTCCTGACTCTTAGTTTTACCTGGTCTCATGTGCATGAGGAATGGTAGGAGGAGGAGCATCTTCTGGCACTGACCAAATGACATCTCTGAATGAGGCAGGGGCCTTGACATGCTGCCAAGTTCCTCTCACATTCACAGGGCTTGCTGTCATGTCTCTAGGTATGGATTTGGTGGAGACTTAGATGGGCATTTTGGGGTTCTCTGGATTATCAGTTAAGATTAAGTTAAGCTGAAGAAAACCTCAAACAACAATGGTTTTCTGTCTTGTTCTGCCACCCTCAGTACCTGGCTTCACCTCATAGATTAAGATGGCTACTTGAGTTCTAGCTATGAGCTCAGCATTCCAGCCAGCCAGGAGGAGGAAGAAACATGTTTCCTACCATTTAGGGCGCTCAACTTATATTCAGTAGCCAGAATTTAATGACATGGACACCAGTTGAAAGGGACCCTAGAAAACATCTTTGTTATGGGTAGTCTTGTGCTTAGCTAATGCTAAGAAAAGTCATACAATAATAAGTTCATCTGGCTCAGCACCCATAGCACAGTGGTTACGGCACCAGCCACATACACTGAGGCTGGAGGGTTCAAACCTGGCCCAGGACAGCTAAACAACAATGACAACTGCAACAAAAAATAGCCAGGCATTGTGGCAGCAACCTATAGTCCCAGCTTCTTGGGAGGCTGAGGCAAGAGAATTGTTTGAGCCCAAGGGTTTGAGATTGCTGTGAGCTGTGACACCACAGCACTCTACTGAAGGTGACATAATGAGACTCTGTCTCAAAAAATAAAATAAGTTTATCTGATTGTTTATTGTGTTCTATGCACTATGTTAAACTCTGAATCTCCTATTTAATCCTCACAATAACCCTATAGGTAGCCCTCTTTATTATCTACATTTTACAAAGGAGGAAAAAGTTCTAGTGAGATCAAATGATTTGTTCAGGTTCACACAGCTCTTAAATGGAGGTGCCAGAATCCAAACTCAAGTATCTGGCTCCAGAATTAGTGTTCTTGAGTAACTGCTCTGTTATATCTCACCTTCTCCATCCATAATTCCCTTTTCTCCTTCCAGGTAAAGGCCTCAGTGAAAACCCCTCTGGCCAAAGCCAATCCAGCTGCCACTAGAGTCTCTTCAGCCAAAGGGGCAACCTCGGCTCCTGGAAAAGGTGTCACCACAGCTGCTCAAGCCAAACAGGGGTCCACAGCCAAGGCACGTGAGACCAGAAGCCATGGGAGGTGTGGTGTTCAGTTTGGGGTGGAGAGGAGGACCAGCCACTGACCCTAGCCTGGACAAGGGCTGGGGTGACCTCCCATAGTCACACCATGGTGAGGTGGTGAGTCCCTTAACCTAAAAGGACTCATGTTGTCCATTTCCTTTTCTAATATTGTTATCTCTTTGAAATTCAGGCAAAGACACCAGCAAGAACCCTCCAGAACAGTGCCCTCTCAGTGAGGGGCCAGGCATCTATGCAAAGTGTGGGGAAAGCAGGAGAGGAGGACTCAGAGAGCAGTGAGGAAGAGTCAGACAGTGAGGAGGAGGTGCCAGCTCAGGTGAGGCTCAGAGAGCAGCCCTATGCTGGGAGCCACAGGCCCAGCATAGAGCATAGCTGCATTTGCCCCATCAGTCTCCTATGTCTCCTCATACATCCAGCCCTCTGGGCTATCTCCCTATTATATTTCTCTCTCCAGGCAAAGCCTTTGGGGAAGACCCCCCAAGTCAAAGCTGCCTCAACCCCTGCCAAGGAGTCTCCTAGGAAAGGGGCTATCCCCATGCCTCCTGGGAAGACAGGGCCTGCAAACACCCAGGCCCAGATGGGAAAGTGGAAGGGAGACTCGGGGAGCAGCAGTGAAGAGTCAGACAGTGAGGGGGAGGCCCCAGCGGCCGTGACCCCAGCCCAGGTGAGACCCACTAGGCCTCCAAGCCACCACTGCCTACTCCTCGGTCAGAACTAGGTGGCGTTCAGGGCCAGGTAAGGAAGGAAGACCTGCTTAAACCTCTGCCTTCAGGATCCCTCATCCCAGCCACTGTCCTGCACCTTTCCTTAGATAAAACCTGCCATAAAGGGCGGCACCTGGGGCTCAGTGGGTAGGGTGCCAGTCCCATATACCAAGGATGGTGGGTTCGAACCTGGCCCTGGCCAAACTGCAACAAAAAGATAGCTGAGCATTGTGGCTGGTGCCTGTAGTCCCAGCTACTCGGGAGGCTGAGGCAAGAGAATCACCTAAGTCCAGGAGTTGGAGGTTGCTGTGAGCATCACAGCACTCTACTGAGGGTGATAAAGTGAGACTCTGTCTCTAAAAAAATAAATAAATAAATAAAACCCTGCCATAAAAACGCCAAGCAAGGGCCTCCTCAGTAAAAGTCATTCTGCTTGCTCCTTTATCGAGGCCTCCATGGCATAAGCAGACACGCCAGCCCCCTGGAAGGATATGTCAGCAATTGCTGCCAAGGCGCATAAGGCCATGAATCAAGAGTCCCAATCAGAGAGTCATGAGGAGGCTTTGAGTGTAGGGCAGGAACACTGAGGCCCTGGGGGAAGTGAAGGAAGTCACATCCCTCACCTGGGCCTAAGAAAGACTGCACATAGGCAGGTGCACCTCCCAGGGAGGCTTGGAGAGAGCAGGGAAATCTGGACAGTTTTCCTGTCTGCAGAGGTGGCAGAGCTACCTGAGTCCTGCAGACACGCAGGGCGACAAGCTCTGGTACCTACAGGGCTCAAGCGTGTGATGGAAATGATTGACACAGGCCTGGTGGAAGAGATAGATGGCAACTGACATGGTTCCTTGCTGTCAGGAGAGACAGTAGGGAGAGGTGGTAACTAGGACAACCTGGAGAATCCTTCCCATCTAGAGTGACAATGCTATTAGCTGTTGTGACTGTAGAAATGTATCATCTGTGTGGTCAGATCTTCCTTTTCTTAAGGAAAGCCAGAAGTCCCTGTGTCATGTCAAGCTTCATCCCCTCTTAAATTTCTTTTTTCTTCATGAATAATACAAGTGCCATGGCTAGGGCCGGTGGCTCACATCTGCCTAAACCTAGCACTCTGAGAGGCTGAGACAGGAGGATCTCTTTAACCCAGGAATTTGAGGTTGTAGTGAGCTATGATGACACCACTGCCATCTAGCCTGGGTGATAGAGCAAGATAGTTGTCAAAAACAACTAAAAATACGATACCCAACCTCTGAGAACCCTGTTAAATGCTTCTAACTCTAATCCCTGCCTTTGGTACATCAAATCAACTATTGGTGATGAAAGACATTGGCTCTGCCCTCAAGGAACTTGACTGTTTATAGGACAAGACAGATGACCATATTATCAAAGAATATTCTGGTGGTGCTCTGTTTGATGGAGCTGGGAGAATAGGTGAGAGGCCTAAGAGGGATGATTGAACTGAACTTGAAGGAAAACAGCTGAGAGGCCTAAGAGGGGTGATTGAACTGAACTTGAAGGAAAAACAGGCATTGACTGGGCCCGGAAGTGGAAAGTGGTGTGTGGCAAAGGGGCAGGGGGTGAAGGCATGTGGTCAGCAAAGGCAGCTGTCCTGCAGGCTGCAGTCCCTTCCCAGTGCTTGTTACTAGTGACATTTACGGAGGGGCTAAATAGGCTAAAACACAAGCCCCACCCATGTTTTGACCTGGGCAGTTTTCTTTTTTTTTTTGGAGACAGGGTCTCACTTTGTCACCTTTGGTAGAGTACCGTGGCATCATAGCTCATAGCAACCTCAAACTCTTAGGCTCAAGTGATTCTCTTGCCTCAGCCTCCCAAGTAGCTAGAACTACGGGCGCCCACCACAACACCTGGCTATTTTTAGAGACACATTCTCACTCTTGCTCAGGCTCATCTCGAACCCATGAGCTCAGTCCACCCACCTTGGCCTCCCAGAGTGTTAGCATTACAGGGAGTGAGCCACCGCACCCAGCCTGTTTTTAAGTTTTCAATGAATTGCTCTATCAGTCAGTGTCCCAAGAGAAACCCAAGTTGAAGGAGCTTAGATAATAAGAGGACCGATTGGTTCAGCATACAAAGTCCCAGGGTCCAGCTAATGTAAACGTGGTTCCTTCTTTGGTGACCAGATGTCCTCCATTTCTGTGCCCCACTAGCCTCATTGTCACAGCAAGATTGTAGTATCTCCTAAAAGGCTAGGAATAGTCTTCCCTTCAAGTTTCCTCATCCAAACCTCAGGCTAGATGTGCTGCCACCCCCCCGCCCAGGTGTGCGGTGGGGGCCACCAGAAAAGAGTCAGGGTTCTATTAGCAAGGAAGACACAGGCATTACTGTTGAGGTGACCAACAGTGTGCATTTTTTCTTGCCCCATTTAAAAATTGGTAAATGCCGTGTTCAAACTGGGATCTTCTAGCTTCTTAAGGAATTCGAAATTAAGGCAGCCCGGCTCGGCGCCTATAGCTCAACCGGCTAAGGCGCCAGCCACGTACACCTAAGGTGGCGGGTTCGAATCCCCAGCCCGGACCCGCCAAACAACA